CAGACTTTGAGGAGTCCTCCCCCTGAGGAGGAAGGAGCAGCAGAGACCAGGTGTGATGAACTGACCACGCCCCATATTCCCCATCCCCCTGCGCTGCTCAGGGGAGGAGGTAGTAGAGAAATCAGGGCAAAAGCGAGCCTGGGAAGAAGGGAGAGGTGGGGGGAAGGTGTTTTAAGATTTGGTTTTAGTTCTCATTATCTCTACTCTGATTTTGATTGCAATAAATTAATTTCCCCAAGTCAAGTCTGTTTTGCCTACGATGGTAATTGCTGACTGATCTCTCCCTGCCCTTATCTTGACCCACAAGCTTCTTGCTGTATTTTCTCTCCCCTGCCCAGCTGAGGCAGGGAGTGACAGAGCAGCTTTGGTGGGCACCTGGCATCCAGCCACGGTCAACCCACCACAGTGATGTATGCACAGAGACACTTTACAGAATGACCAACAGAAGATTGCTGGGGGTGGAGGGAGGGAATCTATTCCCCACACACCCCCTGACCCTTCCATGTTTAGCATTCTTAGAGACAACTTAAACTCACCTTTAATTGAGAGGCAGAGAAGAGGTTTTTTGTAAGAAGTTGGAGACCTAATAAAGGACATATGAAGAGTCCATACCAGGAAGCTCAAACATGGCAGAAGGAAAGTAGTCTAGGTGCCAAGTTTGCCATAAGAAATCACCCTGTCATTCCTTGCTTCCTTGCTTGTGGATACTTGGCAAGTATGATTAAGGTACTGAGATGTTCCTGTGAACAAAGTGGTCTCTTAGCATAATATAAATAATGTTCAACTCTATGCTGAACAGCAAAATTCACAGAAAAGCCTGTGGGTGTCCCAGTCTGAAGACAGGACAAACCACAAAGGCTTACATCCAGAGCAGAGCTGACAAAGGCTTCCACTCTAAGCCAACTAAGGATGCACCAGTCCTGCTAAAGGGATCTGCTGCAGGCAGCAATCAGTTCCTGGCTCATGTCTTGGCACGACGTGCAACAGCTATGCAGGGTTAGCGCCCATGGCGCAGCTCTGGCACATCCACACAAACCGTGCAAACCGTGGCTCATGTCTCCGCTGGGCCTCCTGCCTGTCACGCCTTAAGTTTTTACTGCAGTTACTCGCTCCCAAGTGCCTGAAAGACAAGGCTTCCTGAAATAGTATCAGAAAACTGAGCGCGCTAAACCCACAAAATCCTCTCCCCACTACCTTTACAGATTTGTCTCTGGAGCAACTACCCTCAAAGCTACACCTAAGCATCAAGGGAAATATGGTTTGCTCAGAAGTGTCTGTGAGTGAGTTGACATACGTACAGCGATGACTGCTGGTTACCAGGACCCAGGGGTGCTCTGAATGAGCAAGGCAGATAAGGTGTTTGACAGAACAGATGAACTGCGTCAAGTTAAATCTTGAGGCTCTCAGTCTTCTTTATCAGCATTCCCCCTCTTGCACCAAGTTAGTAGCTCACTAGGTGAACTCTACTCAGCAAGACAGTCTGTAAAATACCTGTTTTCTAGTGTTTGAAAAATGTCATGCTGGGGGGGGTGGGGAATAAAAATCAGCTGGCTCCATTACTGTTGTTAGTAAATATGTAGTAAGGCAGATTTTATTTTTTTAATCCACTGATGAGGTTTTTAATTACAAAAGAGATAAAGATAAAAAAATCTCTTCATTTTAATGATTAAAGTAAATTCCTAGTTCAGATAATTAAATCAAAAGTCACAGCACCATTAGTAAGGCTTGAGGGACCAGAGTTATGATGTTAAGGACAGACACGGTATTTCTAAGAGTAAGTTAAAACTGAAAGTTCTAACCAATACCTTCAACACAAAGTATGTCTTTGCATCAGTGTCATATATAATCTCTCTGTAGGAGCCTGAGTCTAGTTCAGTGTCTTGGGCACAATGAAACTAGTAATATAGTGGCAGAGCAGAATGGGAAAATGTGCAGTGCCCACTGATCCAGCAAGCATTAAACCAAGAACCAGTTTAGTTTTAGGAGGTGTAGGACTGAAACAAGGTTCCTTACCACCAACTTCTGTGAGATTTTAGCATTCACAAATCCAAATGTCAAGACATACAGGCAAGAATGTTTTTCAAACAGCTGAGTTGTAGACTTTTTATAGATCATAATGGCCAGTATGATAAGTAGTCCAATGTGCAGGCCTGGCGAGAGAACACTTGTTCCCTGAAATACAAATGGACAGAAAACTTGTCTTAGGCTTCGGGCATGCATTAAGGTCCAGATTTTATGCTTATTGCAAATACCATTAAAACAAACCCAGCATTGTCAAAACTCAGGGAAAGTCCATTAGCATTATGCCAATGCTGTTAGTATCCTTTGCAGTGACCAGTAATCAATTTTGTAAGAAAATTCTTTGCTGGTTCCTGTGACAGAAGAAATGCAGTAACAGGCAGAAAGAAGGCAGATAATGAAGTCTTTGCTTTAGCCATCCAACACTCATATACTTGCCTGCTTAAATGCTTAAACAGAGAAAACCCTTACGATCATCTGAAATGCAATAAATCATGGGCATAAACTATTCAAACCGCGCTAAGATTTTTAAAGCAACTTACTGCTATTGTAGATCCATTCTTTCCAACCCCTCCACCAAAGATGACACGGAAGTAATTGAAAAAAGAAAGTGCTGTTCCACACAGAATGCCAAAAACTGCAAGGAACTTCAGTTCTAAGCCCACTAAAGGGACCTTAGCAGGAAAAACAAGAGAAAGATACTAAAAGTTAAGGATAACACCTTTTTGAAAAGTGATTAAAAAACTACTGATACCTACTAAACAATTGTTTTATTTGAACACTTGCTTTCCCAGGAACACGGTCAGGAGGACAGTGTTTGGAATTTTCTTCCCTTCTAAGGAGATGACAAATTTCTTTCATAGTGTTTAAACTCAACTTTTGAGTACTTAAGTTCTCATCTTGAAATTCAGCTAAATCTTACTGTGTTTGTCCTTACGATGTTCTTTGCATATTTTTACTACATAAACGAAAACTTGACACAGACTACTGCATCACCAAGGCATGAGATGGGGGGAGAAGGATAGTTCCTTCTGTTTCACCGGGTAACACAGGACTAAACCACAGGAAACAGAAACACCATCTGCAGGCTTTGTGTTTTGATACATGTTATTTGTATGCTGTATCTTTGCATTTAGAAAAATCTCCAGATAAAAATTTTAATTAAACATTTACCTTTCAGAATCAATTGCAGTTTCAAGGAAACTTCCAAAGGCAGCAGAGGATTTAAAAAAACAGTAGTAGTAATAAATTGAAACCATTGACTGTATTTTTGAATATAGATTGTTTTGAGATACAGCATAACTACCACAGATTTTAATACTGAAGGAAAATCAATCATAAAAAGTCTAATGCATCTACTTTATTTTCCGACATGAAAACAAGCTGTTTGAAAAACAGAACAAAAGTGTCCTGCAGGATGGGGAAATGAAACAAAGTTTAGCTAAACGTTTCTTAATTGCTGAGTAAACTTGTGAGTTAATTTGAATTTAGATTAATTTGCATTGGTTATCGATAGCATGGAATGGTCTCAGATCTTCTATGTGCTGTAACCAAGCAGAACTGTACATTTCTGAGTAAAGATCCTAGAAAGGATGAGGACGTTTGTCTAATATACTTTTGATCCTGTCCACTGAAGCGCATCTTTAAAGATCAGAATAAAAGCCAGAGATTGGGAAATGCTTTTGGACAGAAAAAAATTCTTTAAATATAGATATTTACATTTATGTCAGCTCTGACATAACTTAAAAATCAGTACATCTCTATTGGCATGTAAATATGGATTACTTAACCAAAAACCCCCTAACTTCATCCCATGGTTTTGTTAAAGTATTTAATCTTTAAATTTTAAAATAAAGCATCCTATAAATCACCTAACCAAACAGAAATGTATGTCTTACAATAAAATATAAAAAAGAAATAAAACTAGAACAAAACCTACTTGTTAAAGCTTAAGTATCTGCAGAGTATAGTTCCAGATCAGATGTTTGTATGTGGCAGATGGGGTCTTTTTTTCCTCTAATGTAACTCTAAATTTGTGCATAGGAAGTCACACTATTATATCTAAGTTAACTACAACATAAAAATAACCTACATTTGTACAATAAGCTAAACCAGAACATTAGATAACTAGTAGGTGTTGAGGGAACTTGCAGAAGGTAGCTTCAAATACCTCAGGAACTGTGAACACTTAACAGGACCTGAAAACTCAACAGGAACTCTGAATACTTAATACACTTACCTTATAGTCCCATATTGCTGTTCCACCATATGCAGATATCAAGAGCAGTATGGTTATGGCTATCTGAACTTCAGTTACATCAACTCTATGAAGGAAAAAAAAGGGAAATTTAGTTAAAGGTCTTTTTACTGTAAGCATAAGGTGGGCAAGGAGGGAAATAAAAAACCCAGTGACTTCAAATTATCTCCGTAAAAGTACTTCAAATTACATAATGTATATAGAATATGATTTTCCTTGGCTGAGAAAGATATCTATATGGAGGGACACATCTTTGGTTAAGATTTAAAATTAAACCTATACTCATTATCTAGAGCAAGCTACATAAAATTGTAATAGGGAGAAAACCTTTAATGAATACATTTGAGAATTTTGTATATATTTACACAGTTGTTGCTATGTAAGTGTCAAATCAAAGTTCAAGCAAGCTCATAGTAAATGAAAACAAACATTTCCATTAAAAGCATATCATATAAAAGTATGGACCGTGCAGGCTGGGACAGAAAGGATTTCTTTAAGCCATCATATCATTAAAACTTGACAGATACAGTCAGCAAAACAGAAGGGCAGTATTTTGAGGACTGAGTCAGCAGATAGCTAAGCATCTTTCCTGTTTCAGAGGACATGTAATTGATATCTCGCTTTTTTCCATGAAAACGTTCTTAAAATAGGTGGCCTTGTATGCTCCTTAGTCTAGACTCTCTATTCCACCTTTTTTGTTCTTGGACAAGATAGTCAAACCCTTTTTTTCCTTATTTGATTGATGAAATGTTTTGAGAAGACCTGATTATATAAAAAAGTCAAGAAGAAGCTTGAGAGAAATAATTGGTTTTTTTCAATAAAGCTTTAAAATAATTAAATAAAATGAGTAAGTCCACAACTAAAGTACTGTTTATGCTACTGAAGGTTTTGAGACAGGTACCTGATCTTTGTGCTGAAGTTACCAGCTAACAGTGACAATGTATGTTTAACATACATTTCCTTAACCAGTTAGAATAAATTTGCTGGTTTAAGGTATTATGACCAAAGTCAACACGTATCATTACTTGCTTTGCATGTGAACTGTTTGCACAGGAAACTGTATTTTTAAAGGAAGATAGGAATCAACTCTTGGCTAATGGAAAACATTTATCTGATCTTGATAATCACAGTAGCATTAAACCCTCTTCTTTCATTGGAAAGGTTGCAATATAATATGCTAAGTTTCATCACGAGCTTCAGACTCCTAGTCTTAGAAGAGCCAAAGTTTAAGCTGCTGAGGTGCTCATCACTGTCCAAAGCCACTGAAATGGGTAATCTTCTCCTTCCTATGCCATCCCACTCCCTCACTTGTACTAGCTGTTGCGCTCATCGGACTGTGAGGTGAACCAGTTCAGCCTGCTAGCCTTATGTAGGTTTTTAATCTTCTGTCTTTTTAATCTTCTGTTTCATGGATTGGCTTTAAGTCAAGTGATAGAGTCTGTTCAGGGGGGAAACGGGACAGCATGGCTGGGAGTGGGCTTTTCCCTCGCTACCAGGGATGAAGTCTTACATCTGCCCAGTCATTGCTGTAGCTGCATGCTGAACTTGTCTGTTACGTCATGCAAAAGCATCCATATGCAAGTGCAAGTGTTCAGAGTTTGCACTCTGCGCTATTAAGACCTAGATTTCTAAGCTGTACTGAACTTGCTGCTTGTTGGCAGCGGGAGGAGGCTCGAACTTAAGTTGAGTCATTATATGTGCCAAAGTTTAGTATATAACTTTACAGAAGCTTCGACAGTTAATTGCAACACAGCCCAAATCAGATTTTAATCAGACACTGTGTGGTATTTTGCACAACCGGACAGTGGCACAATACCCAGCTGCTCTGATCCTTCCTGGCCATCAGCACTAGGACTCCCTCATCTGTTATTTGACTTCTAAAATCAAGTGCCACTAATTCAGGAACAGCATCAGTGAAAGCTTCCGTCCATGTTGTTAAGTATTATCATACTTATAGCAACATACTATTGTCTTCATTTAGCCTCTCACCTCCATGCTTAGGAGAAATAAAATTGCAAGCCCTGAAACAATTCTGACCTGTTCTCACAAAACAGAAATAAGTTATCTTTGAGAAAAGTTGTGTCTATTTAACTTCAAACAGTAAGTGTGGAACACCAGGCCATTCTGAACTGCTTGTACTATGCATTATCACTATATTTATGTAGAAGCCATTAAGCTTTTAATAAAGAAGTTTTTACGTGGCATGGAGCCTCAGTGCCTTCCTGATGTAGGAAAATAATTTTCACATTTTATGCAAGAACAACAGGGACACAAAAGCAATCATTTACGAAAAATCCCAGTGCTCATGGCATAGTCCATCTCCCTTCACTGTAGTCCACTGTCACGTACAGAAATTATCCTATCTCAGCCATCACTCTAAAGCATCTATTTTTGTTTACAGCACAAGATGTCCTAAAAACCACTAGGATGGGTAGGCAGGTAGAAGAGTTATAGTTTGTGTGGTAAAATACATTTTCAGCAAATAAAAAAATAGTGTTACCACAAAGACAGCTTTCTTTTGAGACCAACATCAAACAGTATGCAAGGATAGCTGATCACTAGCCCGTGTGCCCAGTGATGCTCAGATTTGCTAAGATGCTTCTTGCAGGTCAGAGCTAAGTAGGACTATAAACAGGTGACTTAGCAAGTGACTAGGATTACCAGAGGGATAGCCTTCATCTACCACATATTTCCAATTTTGCTGCTATGGAAGTCTCTGATCTTTTCCTCTTTTCGGAAATCATTACCAAAGTGGAGCTCACTGTTTAAAAACAGCAAAAGGCCGTGGCTAGGCACCACCACAGCTGCAGGAGGGTGCAGTGATCACTATTAGGCATTGAATTGAAATTGTTATCTTCCACATGAATGTCATGACTCCTCCTCCTACAGTGCAGTAAGAACAGATGAAATTTCTACCAAGTCATGAACAGCATCACAGCAATCACAAGAACTGTGACCTGACACAAAACCTAAAGGATATCAAAACCAATAGGAGACAGATTAAAAGCAAAGCCCCCACACAAACCTGGGGTAATTCTTCAAGCGCTGCCATAGCTCTGTGGCAGTGGATGCAGAGTTCATTCGAAGGAAGACTGAAGATGCTTATGGAAGGGAAACTCATTAGGAGGGGAATTTCTACAAAATGCGTGTGGTTCAGAGTCCCCTGGGCTGAAAACATTCTGTGGCTGGGAGGTTGCAAAGGAAGGTACTGTAGATGCTTGCTCTGTCCCTACTCCTACACAGAGCACTTGTTTATACTGCAGAGAAGACCTCTCTGGCCTGAGCCTGCCTGGTGCTTGTATGGGTTCTGAGAACAAATCCACAGACAAAAAAGCCAAACACATGCAAACAAAGCATATATAGCTGAAATCAGCTGCTAAAAGACCAACTCCTCTGCTCACTATTATGCAGAGTTTTAAAGTTCTTGCCAGGTAAAACATAAGTCTGCTAGGGTGGAAGGGAGATGAGGAAGAGGTGAGAGGAAGAGACAGCAGGGAAAAAAAACAAGAAATGGAAATCAAGTAGCTAGCAGTCTCAGACATTAAGCTACATGTACTTCTAAAGATGCCTACTTACTTTCCAAACCTTAGTATGCCTGATACATATGTCTGCCAGTGAGCAGAATAGAACATGAACAGTCCCACAAAACAACAGAAAAACAACCAGTCAGGATTTGTTCCTAGTCGGATTGCTATGCAGGATCCAAGGACAACAAAAACTGAAAAGCAGAAATGAACATGTTAGTCATATACCCTCTTCGCTTGCAGTTAAGAAAAATAAAATAAAAAAAAAAAATCACAAGGCATTTTATATCACTATAACAAAGTAATGATATTACTGATACTTTACTGAGTAGCTAAGCTCAAGGACAGTCCTGACAGGAGAGACCAAAACACAGGACTCCTTTTCTTCCAAGTGAGGGCCCCACTTCTAGCCTACAGTGGTTGATCTCCCTTCTTCTGGCCTTGTCATCTCATGTTCTTTGCGACACTGACAGCCTCGCCTGAAAGGTCCAGCTCAGAGAGACTGGTAGAGTTGTGCTTCTCTGGGAAGTGAGGTGTAAAGAACATACCAAATCCCAGGACAAATGTTTCGGCCATTAAGCTTTTATAGAAGTAGGGGCATTGCCACCAACAGCAGCAAAGTTATGGACAGTAAAACTGAGCAAGGCGTACTTTTTAAGGACTCCAAATCAACTTTTTTAAAAACTCATTCTTCTAAGGAACATAAATTATCCTTCTCCTGAGTGCCAGGCTGGATGCCTTATTATCAAACTGATATTTTGGCACCTCACTCCTAAAGCGGAATCCTTAGTTTCACATGCCAGCATCAATCTCTTAGGTCTTTAAAATCCCTTATTGGACATCACCTGTACTTTACTGGAAAACACAGGCTATGTATAGTAATGACCTCTAAGCATACTCCTACGGAATTCTTTGTTTACCACCTAACTCATTCGAAGAACACTGTATATGAAGATGTCCAGTAAGTAAGAGCAGAATGTTACCCAACATCTGCCAAAGGTAATTCTGAAATATCCTCCCCGATACTGGTCAGGGATGCAAAGGTCAGGAGCAGCCTTGGCTGTAGTGATCAGGAGATGGTGAAGTTACCCTAAAAGAAGGGAACATGCTGACCCTGCTCTGAGCAGGGGATTGGACTAGATGATCTCCAGAGGTCCTTTCCAATTTCAACAAATTGTGATTAATCAGCTCCTCTTGAAAATACGTAACTTTTTAAAACTAGGATGGGTAACAGTATGTTAAGGCTACCTGTGGAAATAGAGTCGCAACCATGATCAAAGAGTTCTCCTAGAGGAGAACTACTGTTTGTTCTTCTGGCTTGCTTCCCATCAATGGCATCCAGAGACTGGTAGATAAAAAGTCCTAATGCACCCAGGATGTATGCCCAAAAAGGTGCCTGAAAGAGATTCACATAAAAAGTCACTAGGCAGTTCCAAATTTCTTAGCTGATTATCTATTTCATTATGGATAAAATAATGTTCAGCACAAAACTATACTACATTGTGCTATTTTTTACTTAGTTAATGGACAAACCAAATTCTGTACATTACTACATGACATGTACTAACTACTATAATGAATTACTCCACATACACCAGTGAAATACAGGTCCTTCTATTTATTTTTAAAAAACCCCACAAACAAAAAAAACCCAACACTTTAACCTCTCTTCTGCATCAACTGACTTATTTTTCTACCTTAAACCCACAGTATTTCTATAATTATTTGTATTCTTTGTGCTGAAAAATGTTATGAAAATAAAATTAATCTTTAAAAAAGAAAGCAGTAGTAAGGCACTTACTAAAGTTCTCAGCAGTTTATGTGACAGACGCTTAGATGATTTGCTCAGATTTACAACATCCAGATATAAAACCCCATTACCTTTTACTAAATAAAGACTTCAGCTTTTAGGGGAAGAGATTTTTTTTTCCAACATACAAAAATTGAATACATAGGCACTTTGGACAAGGGTTTGAAGAAATGAAGTCATTCACTAAATATGAAGGAGCAACTATCCACTTAGTATAGACTATCAAGAGTTTCAAAACAAGCTGTGAATCAGTTACATTAACACCAGTCTTAGGTTCAAAGGAACTGTCTTACAGTAGTATCTTTCAAAAGCATTATTTTCATATGCAGTCAGTATGTCTTTGTCTAGGAATTAGTTTTTACTAAAAATTATTTATAACACGTTCTGAACAAAGTACAGGTAACATTTTTGCCTCAAGTAGTTTCCAGTGGTATCCTTAACATTTAGAACCACTGTTCATTAAAAGAGAGTCAAAGTGAGGTTTAAATGTTGGAAGTGCAACCTGCAGGTTAAACAAGTGAACAGCCACAGGCAGCCACAGAGCTGAATCCTTCCCCACTCCCAGGTAAGGGACAGCTGCTGTGGCTCTACACCTCTGCAGTTCCTCTCCTGCAGGACAAATAGACCAACATGATTTACATGTATTTCCTAAATTCAGTAAAGGCTATTAAGCAGATTTAGACAACAGATCAAATCTCACTGAGCGGAGATTTGTCCACACTCGCATAAACCCAGTGTCACTGCTGGGGAAAAACGAGAAATAACAGTTGCCAATCAGTTCATAGGCAGGGACAGGAGAAGGCAGCAATAAGAATGCAGACGAGGTGAGCTGCTCCTCCAGACATTCTGTTTGGTCATCATCGTTACACTCACTGACAAGCTAGGAAAAAAGTTGTGCCTCCCGTTAGGCTGATCACAAAACACATCCTTCCCAAGAACCAGCATGCTTAAGGGAATTTCTGTTCTGAGCCTTTTTTTGCTGTTATTCAAGACTTCCTCATGTATTCAAGGCTGGCCAATACACCATGTTACCGCTTAATTTTGTGCTTTCAATATGGAAACAATATTGTGAGCAAATTTATGATTTTCCTGCTACCCAGTATTTGGATAATTTCATTAATAAAATATTCCACCGTTTCAAGTCAAATGGTTGGCTGCTTTGCCCAGCTTTGAAGAAGACAACAGTCAATGAATTGGAGACTCCAGCCATAGGTGAGAAGTCTGGATTTGTATGTACGTAGAAGCCTAGAAAACTTAGAAAATTCTTCAAAACTGGCAAGGTTGTCTTTCCCTTAATCCAAGGAAACTAAAAAAAAATTGTAATCAATTGGAAGCCTTCCAAGATGCTGGAAGCCTTCAGCAGGTAAAAGAGGATGAGTAGATATTCTCATTCCAATGGACTTTTAACATACTGGTATCTGATAACACCCTCAAAGATCACACTATAGAAATCCAGGTCAAGTGATGGCAGCAATACATGTTTGATGTTTACCAGTGGAATTAGTTGGGTTATTTAGGTTTCTTCCTCCTTGTTAGTCCAGTTAAACAGAGGAATTTTGTGTTGGGAAATGGGGTTAAACCAGAAAATCAGTTCTTAGCCATCTTTTGAAAAAGTTTCTCTCCTTTGACAAAGGGGGAAGGACAGAGCCTATGGACAACAGGAGGAGCCCATGGCCACCCTCGGTTCACAGATCACCGTGATCCACCTCCATGTGGAGGAACAGAGAGCTCAAGGGCCTCTCCTGGTGCAAACTCACTTGGTCAGACATTCTGCAGGGGGGCAGCGGCTACCTGTCAGTCCCTGTTCTGGCCCTCTACCTTTCCAAAATAGAGGGCCATTGCTCCAGTATTTCAGCACATAAAAGCACAATTAGGACCCTGTTGAAGCTAGGATCACTTTACTTGGGATATAGTCCACATACTAAAGCTACCACAGTACCTATACCAGCTTTTTCAGAATAACTTTGTTATTATTACAAATGTTATTTGTATGGAGAACAACAGATATTCTCAAGCAAGGCAGCTCTTGACACAGAGCTATGAATGAAGCATTATGAGCAGAAAGGCTAGGAGAAACCACCAGTTTCACTGTAGTCCTTTAAAGTAGTATTTTAAAGACATTTCCAATTTTACCACCAATATTACTGTGAAGTGCCACCAAGGTAATCTGCAATGTTTTACAAGGTGTCCTTACCGTGACATACTTCTACTACTTAAGAAAAGATAGCTTGAGATCTGTCAAAACTTGTCACGCTAATCCCTGTATTCTGGCAAGTAAGCCAGGCCACACCTGGCAATTCTGTCCAGGACACCACTGGTTTTTTGGTTGCATTAGGCTCCCCTCCTTTTGCAACCACCTACCTGTAACTGAAATAGATCTTAGTTTGCTTTAAAGTCATCAGGTTCTCCCTATCACGGACAAAAGTAGACTCTATCCAGTGCTAAATATGCAATTTAAATTCCTTAACCAATCTGCATTCACACCCCACTCAGTGTGAGGCACATCAGCAATTAAGTCAAATGCCAGAGTGTGGGCAGTTTCTTATTTAACTGGATCATTTCCATAACTGAAACACTAGTCAGGAACAGAAACCTGTTATGTCACTTTTTTTTATCATTAGCTGTAGTGCTATATGCCATATGCTTGGTATTATCACAGTCTTTTGAAATGCAAGCTCCATGAAATACAGCCTTAATTCCAACCAAAACAGAAGGCTTGCATGCTGGTTACTGCAGTCAGTTTATGAAAGTTTCCAGAACGCATAGAACATGATGCAAGAATTCTGTTCAAGGTAACATCGTCTACCCTTACCTTACCTCAAAACAAGTATAACACATTAAATGCAAAAATAAACAAATGAATCAGCTTCAACTCAAACCTCTGTTATTAGGTCTTTTTGACAAAGCAGTGGCTTTTGTCGAGTAGCAAGTTATAGTACAGCTAAAATCATTAAGACTGCTGATCCAAGTTTGTTTGCATTAGCTCCTGCTGGGACAAATCAAAGCAACAGTCCCCCCGGACTCCAAAACTAAAATGCTCTGCTGCTTGATGATCTGGAAAGAGGGGGAGAGTTTTCATCCTCATCCTCATCAGGATCATCTGTATCCATCTTCACCTGTAGCAGATGCATCTGCAGCCCCACAGTTGCAGAGAAGGGGAGAAGATCCTAGTAAGAACAGGGGAATAGTTGTCAAAGAGCTTAGAAACACACTCCGGTGCATTTCATCCCTAGGCTGTCAGTTCAAATTTAATCCAAAGTGGTAATAACCAAAGGTCACTTGTGATCAACTATGATTTTGCAGATTAAATGAATGCTCTGATGTTTTAATCGGTAAAATACAGTTTTCCAGATCACTAAAGGTACACAGAGGTTTCTGAAGTTCCTAATAACCACAGATTCTCTCTGCTATCCACCCTCTCAATACAGCTACAGCTGCCATCTCCTCCACCTTCTCACATGCCTGGCTCTTCATCCAGGGATGTCCCCTGCTGGCTTCCCACGCTGGACCCAAGTAGTTTGCAAATTAGAGAAGTGAGAGCATTTGAGAATGCTGACATGGCTGACAGGCTCAGCAGAAAGGTCAGGAGGCTCCCAATAATCATCAGCTTTTCACTGATGAGGTGTTTATTATCTCTGCCCAAAGTTATATCCTGTCCAAGCAAATGTATTATTTGGCCAGAGCTAGATGCTATTTTCATGGAACTAGAAGAGAACACAAACCCGGGGCAGAGGGGGAAGAAGGCTTCTCCGCTTCAATTAAAAAGGATGTCTGAAAGATGATACAGCCACAGAATCTGGTCACACACAGATTTGGTACAGCAGGTCTGGTCATCTACAGAACCAGAAGGTGTCAAAGCAAAACAGTGCATATAGCGTTTGACAGCTATGTGTGGCATGCCTCTCCTTCAGGAAAAAGTGTAGGTTGAACAGCACTCCGCACTCCTCATTCTTCTGCTCCTGAGATTCTGCATGACAGAAGAGCACGGACAGCTGCAGAAGACTAGATGTGCCAAGAAGGTCCCTTACCACTCATTTCAAGAAAAGCTCTCAAGCCCGGAGAGTTCCACTGCCCAAGCTTATGCAACATTTAAAGATTCAGCCCCCCTTAATTACTGATCACATTTAGTCATAATCTCACTTCCTTAATCTAACAACACAGCAACTAATTTCACCCTGGTTTACCCAGTGCCCCTCTGGAACAGACCCAGAATAAAGAGAGACATTTTTACTGGACCTCCTCCCTCTTCTCCCCAAACATGTATCATTTCCCTCACTTCTGTTTCGCACACTATGTACAATCGTACTAATAGCAGGAGAAGGGAGGGGGCTGTTTAAACCTGCATTACAGCAAGGGGGAGAGGGCAGGGAGGAAAAAAAATAAAAGATCTTACTATAGCTCAAGCGCCTTTCATGCACACCAGGGACTCCCTGCATTCCTTTAGTGAAAAGGAGCTCTGAAAGAGCTCCCTCTGAAAGAGCTCCCATCCTTCTGAACCTGTTGGGGTTCCTGGATCTTTGCTGTCTTCCTTTATGCCAAATACCTTTCTCCCATTCACTACTGAGTGCTCCATTCTTCACTCAGGG